TCGTATTGGTGCAATATTGCATGAAAATGCTCCCAGGACACCAGTTCCTAGACCCTGCCAGGTGGCCTACCTACATTCCCCCTTCCCCCAGTGTCCTTGAGACTACCTGAGGCACAGGACGAGCCCTGGACCATCACTGTGCAGGGACAGATGGGCCGTGCACACAGCAGGCAGCACGCAGAGTTTCTAGGCAACCCCGGCCTTCCAGCCCAGACCCGAGGCCACCAGGCACCTTCCCCAGGGCTGGCTCAGAGACCTGCGAGCCGGCTGCATCTTGGTCCCAGTCTCTCGGCTCTCCCACTGTGGGGCAAACCTGCCCTCCCATTTGTTTTCATTCTCATTATTAGAGGATTTTATTTTCCTGTCTACCTTGCCAGCTGCTGACAACAAAACAAAACAGCACTTGTGATTTTCTTCACACCCTCTGACCCTGGAGAAATCCCTCTCATGCAGCCACCATCTGGGAGAGCCATTTCTTTCATCCCACTTGTAAACATTTTCAAAAAGCCTCCGAAGGCAGCCATTTGGCACTCCATCGTGACTGCTTCCCTGCGGACAATGAGATTTCAAATTTTAATGGCAGCTGCTTGATTAGGCATCAGAAGTCCATATTTGAGCATTTGAACTGGCAATTCTAACATGCAAATCTGTTCAAGTGCTTCTTGGGGATAGCTCGAATACTGGACCTGTTATTGCCCATTATCTATGCACTATGCACAGGGAAAATGCGTCGGTGGTTGGTACAATTTATTCCTGGCCTTAACATTCCTACTCTTAGCATTCACCATTTTCACATTCTCCATGTGAGTGTCCCTCCAAAATCCACATATTGTATCCGTAATCCCCAGCATGACGGTAATTTGAAGTAGGGACTTTGGGAGGTGCTATGGGTTGAACGTTTGTGTTTCTCCAAAATTTATGTTGCAACAATCCCAAATGCAACAGCACTAAGAGGTGGGGCCTTTGAAAGGTGATTAGGCCATGAGGACCCCACCCTCAGGAGTAGCATTAGCACCTTATAGAAGGGCTGAAGGGAACTAGCCAGACCTTTTTGCCCTTTGGCCTTCTGCCAGGTGAGGACACAGCATTCGCCCCTTCTGCCAGGTGAGGACATGGCGCCATTTGGGAAGCAGAAGGCAGCCTTCACCAGACAACCGACTGGCTGGCACCTTGCTCTTGGACTTCCCCACCTCCAGAACTGTGAGAAATAAATTTCTGTTATTTATCAAGCATCCATTCTGTGGCATTTTGTCATAGCAGTACAAACAGACTGAGACAGGAGGTAATTAGGTTTACATGCGTCCAGGAGGGTGAAGCCCTCCTGATGGGATTAGTGCCCTTATAAGAAGAAATATGAGAAGTATCTTTTGCTCTCTGTGTCATGTGAAGACACAGCAACAAGCAATTGCCTACAAAGGAGGAAGCAGGCCCTCACCACACACCAAATCTGCTGGACCTTGACCTTGGCACTCCTAGCCTGCAGAATTGTGAGAAATAAATGTTTGTTGCATAAGCCACCCAGTCTACAGTAATTGGTTGTAGCAGTCTGAGCTAAAACATTCAGATAATCTTAACCCCATGACAACCAATAGAAGAAAAAGAAATAGAAAAGAAAGCGGAAGGAATGAAGTAAAATAGAATGAAGGAATGAGGAGTCTCCCTGGCCTGTCCACCAAGCACAGATGGGAGGGGAGGTTGGGATGTTCGTCTGGAATCTGTCCCCTCCTGCAAAGCTCTCCAGTTCATTCCTTCAACTGTAACAAACGACGACCCTAAAGATCTCAGATCTGAAAATCAGCAAGGAAAGGGCCTTATACTCAACTGGTTCACCTTTAGCAAGGGAAACGCACATGAATTGGAAGCTACTCTTTTCAGGAAATATTTGTGAACCACTTGTTAGAGACACCAGCAAGGGGCCCCTCCAACTCAGCACAGCCCAAAGTGGACTCATCCCCTCTCTCCTGCCTTCCCCCCATCCCTGCCACACATGTGTCCTGTCTGTCACAGGAGCACACAGCCCTCCCTAAGGCCTTGATTTCTTGCTCTAATGAGCCCATGCACTGTAAGACAGAGTAAAACTTTGAAATAAGCACAAACAAGACTCCAGTAAAACTCTGCCTCTTCCTAGCTCTGGGGTCTTGAAAGAGTAACTTTACCCCACTAAGCCTTGGTATTCTCATCACTGAAATGGAGAAACTATCTACTTCATAGGGTTGTTGTGAATATTAACAAGATAATGTAGTGAAGCATACAGCCCAGGGCCCAGAGACGGTACATGTCGGATAAATATTAACTAGTGTCATCACTCTGACCCCTGTCCTCTCTCTCTCTCTCTCTCTCTCTCTCTCTCTCTCTCTCTCTCTCTCACACACACACACACACACACACACACACACACACACACACACGTGCGTGGCCGGGCACTATGCTGGGGACATTTACCAGGGAAGTGGTAAATGTCCCCAGTTGTTTGGCCTTTATCAGGTATCTTTCATCTAAAGAACACAGGAATTCTCTTAAAATAGTTCATTAGGTCTCACAATATGTCTATAAGGAAGGTATTCATATTTGCCTCTCTCAAATGAAAAAACCTAAAACAAAAAGTTAAAAGTGACTTTCTCAAAGCTACTCAGAAGTGGGATTTCTAGCAGCGTGACAGTCACAGATTCTGAACATGGTCACATTCCTACCTCTTCCCCTCACCCGCAGCTATGCTGCGTTCTTAATAGCCGCAGTACGAAATCCACATGGTTGACGCTGATAAGGCTTGGTTGATGTTATGGAATACTGAATTCCTATAAGAAGAGGACAAATTTTAAATATAAAATACATTTTTAGCTTAATCTCAAGGTCAGAATAAATTGCAGGGGTCATCGAATCCATTTCTCATTCTAGTCCTGGGCCATAATATTCTCTTTGAAAATATTCAGTTATAGGGAACTGTCTCCCTAAAGAACTGGTTCCAACACCAGACAAGTGTAATTATTAGAGCATCCCACCTCATGTTAAATTAAAATCAGTCTCCCAATAACTCTGTGCAGTGCTTCTACTTTTGCCCATTGGAATTCATTCATTTTCTTTCTTTCTTTCCTTCCTTCCTTCCTTCCTTCCTTCCTTCCTTCCTTCCTTCCTTCCTTCCTTCCTTCCTTCCTTCCTTCCTTCCTTTTCTTCCTCTCTTCCTTCCTTCCATCTGTCCTTCCTTCCTTCATTCCTTCCTTCTTTCATTCCTTTCCAGCTAGTATTTATTAAGTAGCTACCATATGCAACATACTAGCTTAGGCACCTGGGATACAGCACTGAACAGGAAAGAAATGGTCCTTGCCTCATATAGATTCTATTTGAGTGGTTAAAGAGAAGGAGGGAAGAAAACATACAAAGAAAAGTTTCAACTAATGCTAAGTGTTTATGGAGGAAATTAAACAGGATGGGGGTGTCTGGGGGAGGGGCTGCTTTCTATAGGTGCAGTAAACAGCTCCTCTGAGCCTCTGAGGAGGTGACATTTCAGCTGCAACTGGAATGTTCCTGGAATCACACAAGGTATTTCCAGTCCTCTTTCCATATGGTGACCCTTCCCATATTTGGGAACCAGATATCACGACACACATGTATATATGTGCAAGCATATACACTAATCAGTCTTCTTTTTTCTTGAGTAAATATCTATATTTCTTGGTCATTCCAAACATACACACCTGTGTATCAGTGTCTCTCTAAAAATATAGTGTTCAAAACAGGACAGGGAAGTCTAGTTTCAGTGGGTCTGAGTATCACAGGAGAGATGGGCCCACAAGCTAGCTCTGGACACCACACTTATATTAACTGTGCTTCTAGACGCCCAAATTCCACACTTGAAATAGTCTTTAAAAACCTGTATCTCATTAGTTCTCCCATTATTAATCTCTCAGCCAACTAAAAGTTACAAGTATGTCTGTCTGTTGCATGCCATTGTTAAACTTCCTCCCTAGTATCCTGCAATTTATAATTGTAGGTGAGGAGGGGTAGGTAAGGGTGGGACCTGGGTTTTTACTTTTTTTGATACAGAAAATGACGGGCACCGGGATGTGGCAGCTTGCTGCCTCCCCATTGCTCTGCATCTCTGCAGGCCAGTGCTGTGCGTGGCCAGTTGGAGGGCACACTGCTGCCTGTTTCCCGCCACGCTGCTTGCGTGATCCTGATTGGGTAATTTTTGAATCCCACTGTTTTTGATTGGATGTTAAAGCTTGTTGTTGATTGGATGTTAGAGCTTGTTGCTGATTGGATGTTAAAGCTTATAGTTGATTGGACGCTTCTTGAGCCCTACCAAGGGTATAAAAGCAGGGGCAGCCGGCAGGAAGGGGAGAAGATCGGAAGACATGAAGAGAGCTGTAGAAGAATAAAGGCTGTTCTCCAGCTCTTCCTGTGCCACTCGGGTCTTTCCCCGGTCAAATGAATAAGAGCTGAAACAAGAGGTATAACGCTAGCTGTACAGCAACATTTTCTATTGATACCACCTTGCTAGCTGTTTAATATTTTCTCTTATTACTATAGATAACATCATGTAGGACATTAACTGTCCTTCTACATGTCACCACAGATTTGATAAGATGCCATCAACATCCAGTTTTAAGTCATGACCAAAGCATCCCCCCAGCTGGGACAGAGGAGTATGGGCGTTCAAGCAGTCATTGATGCAGTTGACAACATTGTGAGCCGGTCCACATAAGTGAGAAATATGTGAAACACCTTGCTGAACTCCAAGTCCACCTTGCACATTCTTTCATGACCCAGTGAATAAAGAAAGGAATAAAGTGTGGCATGGCATTCTTAGCAGCCAGTGTTGAATCCTCGAGATCACTGCTCCTGACTTTGAGTGCTCAAAAACTCCCCATTTAAAACTATTTTCTAAATATGTGTCTAGAATATTGCCTAATATATATATAGGCACAGCAGTTCAAGGCACATGGTTTTGATTTTTCTCTTTTGAGAATGCCCACTTTGCTAGGCCCCTGGATCACAATCCAGCATCCCCCAGAGGCGTCTGATAATGTCGCTACAGTCGAATGTAAGTTTTTTCTCAGTTTCCTATGACACAATCCATTTGGGCCAGAGACTTAAAAATGTGTAAACCATAACAGGCTCACTTTTATAATCACTGATCTAATGTTGAGTCCCTTTTCTGGTAATCAGTCTTACCATTTCCAATAGGATTCTTATACCTGAAAAAAAAATTTAGGTGGAAAACAGGAAATGAGTACTTCTCCATCTTTTTTGTCTTTTCATGTGTTATTTTTGTCATACCTTTTATTTGAGAATATAGAGTAATTTCCAGAGGGTAAAACAGAAAGTGATAGAAAGGAAACTCACACAAGAAATAAATGGGATTATACCTATCTACACAGGATATTTTGAAAATTGAATTTCTAAATTTATGTGTGCCTAATCTAACCACTATACTCAGAAATGTCTTTGTGGTTCAGATGACATTCTCTTTTACACCTCAGGTTTTTATAATTACTAAGAGCTCCCCTTGTTGATCTGAACTTGTTCCACATAGCAATACCCATTGTATCTTCATCTAACTTTTGAGAGATAGAACTGCCATCAAAACAAGTGGAAAATCTACCAACTGCTCTGCTTTCATTGAATGAGGCTTCAAACTGAAGTCTGGATATTTAAAGCCCTCGCTTATGGTTAGATCTGTCCCCAAACCATTTTTGAGGTTTGCATTGGGAACACGTGATTCACTTCCTCTCTCATGAACTTACAATGCCCCTCCTGTTCTGTCTTTTCATCTCCTCTGAACAGCTCTCCATCGTATAAAGAGGGCACGCCCAGTAGAACGAAGCCCTGTCTCAGCAAGAGTTGCTGCTGACCTGACCTGATCAGCTTGGTCACTGGGAAGGTAACCTCAAATGTGAGTTAAGTTTACCTACCTAGTTCAGCTATGTCCCCAAAATAAAACCTAAAGGGTGCTTTTAACTTTGACTTTATAAAGAACCCACAATCATGTTGATGGTAAGATTGACTTCACACAGTGCCATGATGAATATTCAGTGTCCAATTCACAATGCCAATATTTATTTACATGTGCATTTATGCAAACAGACATAGCAAACTACAGATAAAGTTAAGTGAGGTTGCTGGTGAAGTTCAGCCAGCATAGCGGGCTGGGCGTACCCCACAACTCGGTGTTCTTTATCAGCTAGCATCACTGGAACATGAATATACCTGGAAATCGACACATCCCTCATTTGATCCTGTGCCACATATCTTCTAGGACCAAAACTAATATTTTTGTCTGCTGAAATTGTGATCCTTCAAGAACAGTCTTTCTGACTTGAATATATTTTATTTATTTCACCATGCTGTGTGTTTCTTGCACACCATTCACAAAGTCATAATCACTCTGTTGGGAGTGTGAGTCTTCTCCAACAAGAGGATATCACAGAAGGCGTCTTCTGTGCATGGGGGTGGAGTTCACGGAGAACCCTCACGAAGCATTCCAGGGGGTCCCCCTCATTTCTCAGAGTCCTTTCTCAGAGACTGTGTCCCGCCTTCCACTATTAATTGTATCCCCTTCCTCCTTTTCTATAGCGGTTAGAACTCCATTCAATCCTTACTATTACTAAATATTAGTTAAACCTGGAATATGAGGCTCATGGATTTATACAGAGATATTTATTTTCTTGACTTAGAGTGATACTCTTCCCTCTTTTAAAAAATATATTTCATATACAAAATTCAGCTAATAAAAATCTGAAGTATTGTGCATGTAACTTTTTTTCAATAAGGCAGTGTGTTGCAAGAAAACGAAGATTTTAGAAGTGATGTTGATGGTGACGGCAGCCTTCACACATAAATAACCAAGCAGAGCATTGCTGACGCTGCCCCTGCAAAACAGAGAAGGAAGCATTTCAAACTGCACAATGACAGCAAGAGGACTGAGAAAACGTGTTGAGGTAGAAGCCCATCCACTAACCCAGGACAGGAATTCCCACTGATTATTTAACCTTTCTGTGCCTCAGTGTCCTCAACTGGAAGGAGGAATTTGACAGGGTTTTTATGAGAGCAAATGAATGGAGAAGAGGGGCACTAGCCGGCTGCATTGAATACTGTGAAATGTAACATAAGGAAAATATATCATAACTCTGCCCACGTACACCAAGCACAGTTGTTTCTAGCAGCCACGAGCACTTGTATGACTTGCCCAGGGGGAAAGGTTGGTAATTGAAAAGGCTGGAGACACAGGCAAGATACTTCCCCAAGGACCTGGCCTGGCCAGAGCCAGTGAGTCGAGGGTTCCTCTCATCTTGTCTTCCCATGTTCAAAGCCATGAGTTCAAAGCTAGTCGTGAGATGCAAACAATACAATGGATCTTTCTACTTACCAGATTGGAAGAGGCTCCTTTCATGCCAAATACATGCCAACCCCAACGTCTTTACTCCAGTGGATGTATTTTTTAAAATATCTGTAATTCAAAATTTAGATTATGGCTTTTGGTTTGTTCTGGTGAATGTGATAGGTTTTTCCCCCTTGTTTCTTAGAATTTCAAATTGATTCAAATCTGAAGATTATGCTCGCACACAAAGAAAAATTGAGAATCGATATGTGAACAGCTGACAAGAAGTAATTTAACTCATCTGGTTTAGGTAATTCAAACAAAGAATGTTATTAATTTACATACTTCGGTAAAATGTTTCAACTCTTCACCTTAATTTATTTGGGTGGATACTCCCATATTGTTCATTTTAATAATAAGAATGTCCGTTCAAAAATGTCTAAAAGATTTGAAAGATATATCCACTTGCTCTGTGAAAACATCACTAGATCAGAACAACCAGCAAGGAGCAATTACTCCTGGCATGAAAGAAGGTGCATTTCTGTTTCCCCCTTTTCACCTCTAATCTGAGTTTTATTCTCATAAATTGAAGTCGACAAGACAAGCGTGAGAGGCCTGCACGTCTCAGCTTTGGCAGCTCAATGCAAGGAGAGACAGGCTAGACAAACGACAGGTGACATATTTACTGAGTGGTCTAGGCACTCTTGCCTGCACATGCTTTATTTGTGATGGCAAGAGACAGACATTTTTCCCTCCTCTGCTTCTCTGGTGACAATTCTCACTCGGCCAGTGAGACTCAAGTGAGGCCCACTGCTCGTGGCAAGGCCAGTGTCCTGGCCATTGTGAGAGTTCCAAAGAGGACAAGCGAGGGTTTATAATCCAGAGGTGAGATCTATACTCACGATAAGCTATGTTATAGGGAAAATTCTTGAGGAAAATAGCAATTAGGGGGAAAGGATTAGGGGAAGACGGCCACTTGCAAATTTGGAAATTTCAAAACGCAGGACCAAGGCCAATGGAGCTCAGCTCAAAATAAAAACAGACGTTCTGAAACCATCAACCAACATGGAGAACCAGGCTGACTCTGGAGTTATGTCATCAGCAGAGACTGGCAGCTACCTGTCCTACACTGGGGAGTAGAGGAGTAGAAGCAAGCGTCAGAAGTATCAAAAATTATCAAATGGAATGGGGATGAGATGAGCAAAATCTTGTCTAATCCTGACATTCGGTACGAAGGTAACTAAGTGAATAAGTGAAGTATTATTTGTGAATTGGGCTTCACAAAAGAGCTTTGTGAGAGCAGGTAGTACTCAGCTCATAAAATACTTACTTCTACAAATTCCTCTCCAGGACAGGGAGAGAGGGAGGGGGAAAGAAGGGAGAGAGAATGAATGTTAGCTGTTGGCCTACCTACCCCTATGTGTAGAAACATATTAATATATAAGCCAAAATATTGGCTTTTGGGCCAGTATTCAACATACAAATAAATACAGAATTGAAATACAGAAAATAAATATGTGTATGTATACACACACATGACATACACATTTGCCAAATGCTCTGACTTTTCTTAAGCGAGTTTGTATACAACTAAGGTTACAGGGTCAGTCTGCATTTGTCTTAATATTTATCTATGGTCTTTGCAAGGGGGAAGAAGGAAGAGGAAGAAGAGGAAGAGGAAGGTAGAGCAAAAAGAAAAGGATAAAGAAGAGAAGAAACAGTAAGAGGAAGGAAGGAAGGCTAGTATTATGGAGAGCCTAACAAGGTTGCAGTTATTTTATATACATTATCTTACTTTATACATATTTGCATTCATGATGAGGCAGCTATTATTGTTACTCCCATTCAGATGAGTTCAGACAAGTTCAAATAGTTAAAATAATAAAATTAGTGAATGGCAGAGCTGAGTTTCAGACCCAGTTCCCTCTGACCACAAATCTCTGCGCCACCACCATTCCCCTAGTAACAAGGAGAGATTTAATGACTCACTTAATGTCCCACCACTGTAATGAGTCAACAGTGACACATTTTTAAACAACAGGAATTTTTTCAAGATATTTTAATTCAAAGAAAAAAAATAGGCTGCGTATTCTTAAATATGCTTTGGGTTCGTAGGCTAGTTACAAATATTTCCTTTGCCTGTGCGGGGCAGAAATCTGATGCCATATGCATCACTTCCTATGGGCCAGAAGAAACACCTCATTTCCAACCTGAATCACCCAGCAGTAGATATTTTATGGTCTTCATGATTATCAAACAAGAGGGCTTTCATTTACACCAAGACCATAAGTGTGGGTAAAATTGGGGATTTGAGGGTAGTCATCCAAAGGAAAGAATCAATACTATCTGTAAAGAAATAAAGCACACCGGGGAACAGCAAAGATTCCGCTTCTGTAGCAGCAAGGAACCTTCGCTGAAGGATGTAATTATTATTTAATCCAGCTGAAGGAAGAGGACCTCACAGCGACGGCCTCCTGCTTTCCCCGGCTCTTCCATCTCAGCTTACTGTTCTCTTCTCCGTCTCTCTGTGGAATCCTCCTTTTAGATTGGGTTGACTCTGGCAGCCTGTGCACCGGGCAGACTTGAGCGTGCTTTCCGCGAGGGCTCTGCTGAGGGCCGGCTCAGAGCCCCGACACTGACTGGCTCAGAGTCCACGGTGCGGAAACACACGCACACACAAAAGGAGGTAAAAGGACTCCCTCCCTTCTGGCCAAATAGGAAAGGATTCAGGGTCACTTGCAGCCTCACCTTGTGCCCCTGGGAATCTGCGACAGCACCACGGAGGCAGGCAAGGGGAATGGCAGGGCACCAGCGGGTCAGTTGAGGCGGGGAGAGGACAAAGAAAATGCTAAACGTTTCTCTCTAAGCATTTCTGACAAACAGAAATAATACGGAAGAGCAAGCCGCGGGCCTCCCTCCTCCTCCCCCCCACCTGCCACCTGGCCACAGGCTGGGAGAGACGCGCCTGGGCGTCCTCAACCCAGGCGGCTGCAGCCCCCCTCCCGCACAGGGCCGGTCCCCAGCCGCGTCCCCTCTCCCGCACAGGGCCAGTCCCCAGCCTCGTCCCCTCTCCCGCACAGGGCCGGTCCCCAGCCTCGTCCCCCCTCCCGCACAGGGCCGGTCCCCAGCCTCGTCCCCCCTCCCGCACAGGGCCGGTCCCCAGCCTCGTCACCTCTCCCGCACAGGGCCGGTTCCCAGCCGCGTCCACCCCTCCCGCACAGGGCCAGTCCCCAGCCTCGTCCCCCTCCCGCACAGGGCCGGTCCCCAGCCTCGTCCCCTCTCCCGCACAGGGCCAGTCCCCAGCCTCGTCCCCCCTCCCGCACAGGGCCGGTCCCCAGCCTCGTCCCCCCTCCCGCACAGGGCCGGTCCCCAGCCTCGTCCCCCTCCCGCACAGGGCCGGTCCCCAGCCGCGTCCCCCCTCCCGCACAGGGCCAGTCTCCAGGCGCGTCCACCCCTCCCGCACAGGGCCAGTTCCCAGCCGCGTCCACCCCTCCCGCACAGGGCCAGTCCCCAGCCTCGTCCCCCCTCCCGCACAGGGCCGGTCCCCAGCCGCGTCCCCTCTCCCGCACAGGGCCAGTCCCCAGCCTCGTCCCCCCTCCTGCACAGGGCCGGTCCCCAGCCGCGTCCACCCTCCCGCACAGGGCCGGTCCCCAGCGGCGCTCCCTTTGCGAGCGCGCCGCACAGCAGGGCAGGGGAGTGTAGTTTGTCCCTGGACCCAGAATCTAGAAATCTTGCCCCAAGTTTGGCCCCTCCACTACCAGGTGTCGGCTCGCTCTTCCCTCGAGGGAAACATCTCCACCTCACACGCGTTTGTTCCACGCCGAGTCTCCTTCAGGGAGGACAGCGCGGAGGTCGCGCTGCCCTCAGAGGCGAGCCCCTCTTGTGCCCCCTTTGGAGGGCGCACACTCGCCTAGCGCGTACCTGGCGTCCTCCGCGGCGGCGGCGGGGGGGGATGAGGAACGCGACGCGGACGGTGCGGGCGCGGGACCCGCCCGCCCAGGCGCCGGCCTTTCGCGCGCTCCCGGGAGCCCCGCGCCGTTGCACACGAGCAGGGGATAGGAGTGAGATAGTAAACAGTACTGTGCCGCAGAATGAAACGAGTTGTCAGTTAGCATGTCATCTGCCGATGACAATCTTCCAGCCCTCAGGTGGCTTCGTAAGCGCGGGAGCCGGGAACTCGGGGACTCGCGGAGAGCCGCGTGCAGGCGCAGCAGCTGCGGAGGCGCCGCCGGCGAGGGTGGGAGCCGGGGACGAGGCCTGGAGAGACTGGCCCTGTGCGGAGGCGGCGGAGGGCGGAGCAGTGGCTGGCCTGTGCGGGAAGGGGATGGCGCGGCTGGGGACTGGCCTGTGTGGAGGGTGACGCGGCTGGGGACCGGCCTGTGCGGAGGGGGGCACGAGGCTGGGACCGGCCCTGTGCGGAGGGGGGCGAGCTGGGGACGCCCTGTCGGAGGGTCGGACCGGGGCTGGGACGGCCTGTGCAGGAGGGGGGGAGAGGCTGTGGGACTGGCCCTGTGCGGAGGAGGGGACGGGCTGGGACGGCCTGTGCGGGAGGGGGCGGGTGGGGATGCCTGTTGCGGATGGAGGGGAGCGGCTGGGGCGGCCTGTGCGGGAGGGGTGGACGCGCCTGGACTGGCCCGTGCGGGAAGGGGGGCTGAGCGCCTGGGTTGAGGACGACAGGCGTGTCTCAATCCTGTGGCCAGGTGGCAGGGGGGGAGGGGGGAGGGAGGCGCAGCTTGCTCTTCGTATTATTTTTGTTGTCAGAATGCTTGAGAGAAACTGTTTAGCATTTTCCTTTGTCTCTCTGCTAACTGCCGCTTCGGTGCCCTGCCATTCCCTTGCCTGCTACCGTGGTGCTGTCGCAGTATTCCCCAGGGGCACCAAGGGTGGGTGCAAGTGACCCTGAATCCTTTCCTATTTGGCAGAGGAGGGGTCTTCTTACCTCCTTTTGTGTGTCGAATGTGTTTCGCACCGTGGACTCTGAGCCAGTGGTCGGGGCTTGAGCCGGCCTAGAGAGCCCTCGCAGAAAGCACGCTCAAGTTGCCGGTGACTTCCTTCTC